GAGTTATATTAAGAACATAGAACTATACCTTTAATATAAAAGACATATTGGATTTGAAGTCTTTAATATCCCATATCCAGATTGTGTCACTGTTACACCTCCAATTTAGTTAGATACCTCGATCTATGCAATATTGGATTTAGGGTATATCTCAACTACCCAATTTATTGTTTTTTAGTGATCCGATCCTGGATTGAAAATGTGCAATTAAACACAGTTATTAAGATGCCTTGCAATCTCAACCAATGATATACTTTGACTAGTATTTATATTTGAAATTTACATCTACAAAAGTTAGCTAGGCTTTTGTTATCATAACTAGTATTATCTCAATCTCATTTTATTGAGAATATACTATGTTATTAGATGTTAAATCTTTCATATCAAATATACTAATTAGTATATCATTATTATTATTTTTTTTTAAGGCATACAATGACTTATACATCGCATTTATGTCATTGTCTTGGTACTAGCTTTAATCCACTCAAGGACTTATAAGTTTGCACACTTTACTCTTCAACTAGAACAAATAACTCAGCTCTTCCACTGGAAAAAGAACTTTTCTAGTTGTTCCATAATATTTTCCTCCTAGGAAACAACATGCACTATTGTTATAATACTATAAATGATTTTTGGTTCTATCTAAAATTTCATAGGATTAAGAACCCTACATTCATAAGTATTTCTTATTTGGTGAGGTAACTCATAGCAAATTTTATCTATGGACAATATCCCTCCACAACTTTGAGATAATCCTGAAATTTTATATATGATATATTTCTTATGGTTTTCTAACTCTTGAAATACCATATATTAAATATTTCACCTCATCTACCTTTCCAAAGTTCCATATTCGCTTCTCAACAAGCATATATAACAGTCTCTAGTGCATATGTACTCACTTTATCTTTAGCATATTCTTATAATAATTCACCGACATTACCGTGAATTAATGCTAAAGATATTAATTACAATGGGCTCTAATTAATATTTGCTTTTACATCTTTTTATATTTATAAATTGAATTATTCATGTTTAGGTTCATGTTAAGTCAGTCATATTAACATGTTATAACCTTTCATGTGTCACACATCACATAACTCAATCGTTTAAACAAATAATTATCTTATTATTTAAGCTTTGGATACAATCACCACAGAGTGAGCACTCGCTTCTTAGCTATCATTACTAGTCAAAAGTGAGTTCTTAACTATCATTACTAGCTTAGATTAAGCATACTCTTCTCATATCTCACTACTAGGTTATGATGAGCACCCACTTTTTAGCTATTACTGCTAGCTTGAAGTTAAATTTGTTTAGCTATCAATTCTAGTAGTTCATAGTTTTAGTACACACTTATCTAAGTAGTCTACCTTGGTAGTAGAGTAATTTGTTTTGAAGAATATTCTTCAAAAACTACTACTTTACAAGTAGTATTATTCTCTCCTACATGAGCAGATATGATGTATAACTTAAATAACTTATGGCTAAAATGGCTACTCATCACCCTCGTGTTTTTTACTACCAAGTTGAGAGCTAGAACCAACTAACAGATTTTCCATCTTCCTCTTAGGTTCTGTGCACCTCATTAATTATTTTAGCTTATAGCTAAGCTACCTTATTTGCAACTTAGTAACATTTTAGCCTTTAGCTAAATTGTACATTAGAGTTAACGAGTTTGATTTAGCTTGTCTTAGTGTACTAGCTTAGTGTATCCATAACATTAAACTCTTTAGAGTTATCGGAAAATCTTTTCTTATTTAGCCCATTCACAGCTATACGTGTCTTAGACACTAGTATAGATCTTTCTCCCTTGACTATTAGAAGAATTGACATACTTAGACTAATCAATTTTTGTCTGTTGTATTAAATACACAAACCAGTCATGAACTCATACAAAATTAATAATATCACATATTAAATAAGCTATATTGTAAAATTAAATTACTACGTACACTAAGTAATTCAACTACATATCTCAATATTATAATCTCAAATAATAAACTTTTGTAAAAATAATATTGAATTTGCATAACAATATAGTTTCATATTATATCACATGATTAATTATATCACATAATTAATTTAAGAAAAAAAGATTTGTGCCTCATTCTCCAATAAACATACTAGAAAATTAGGACCAAAAGATGTAGACGTTCTAGCCTACAAGAAAATGATATGCACTGATGTTATAACCTATCAAAGGTTTTATGTAACGATCCACTCCATCACATAGTATGATATTGTCCACTTTGGGATCAAGCCCGCACGATTTTATTATTGGATTTTATCTCAAAAGGCCTCATACCAATTAGAGATAACACCACTACATAAAATCACTTTACCTTTCCTTTACATAGGTGGTGTGGGACTGTGCACCTGTAACTTGCTCAATGTGATAACATGTCAGTGCCTCTTGCACCCGCCCACGGCACACCCACCCACATGGTTGCCACATTATAGGTCTCAATTTAAACTTTCTTAGGAGAAAGTACAACCTTAGTTAGACACCCCCACATTTTTTAGAATTTATAAGAAGGTTTTCGAATTTTCCATAATTCATATGGTGTCACATTTCTAAGGTTTCATCTTTGCTTCGTGGCAAATACACATAACGGTATTTTGTGCAACCAATGATAAAAGTAACGAAGTATCTTTTTTCACCTCTAGTAGGTACATGTTTAAGGTAATGTCATATACTTCATAATATCATATTACAAAATTAAATAATTCAACCAATATTGAATAATTCAATAATCCACTTATATAACATGCTTCAATTTCACATAATATTGAATGCATTAATATTTAACATATTATCATATAATAATGTATATAACATTATTTTACCATATCTCAACTATTAGTATAATATCTACTTGTTTATATCTTAAATAGAAACATATAATAAAATCTATGTAAGGAAGGAATCTGTCTTAAGATTGTTGGTAAAATATATGCTTAATGTGACTTTTAAGATATAACAACCCTTATACTAATATGTCATGAGATAATTAACAATATACTAATAAATCATTAATTAAATATGCAACTCTATATTTAATTAAATATGCAAAATAAAGCAATAAAATAATAATAATATGCAAGGAATGAACCTGAACCGAGGCTAGTATTGGATAATATGTCCTTAAGACAGATTCGCCCAGCTATGGTGCTAACGGACTCAGTGGCGTCTATCTCCCAGGATACAACGGTCTACATCCACCAGTAGCAGCACTACAAACTCGTGGATACGGCGAACCTCCTCCGTGTAATACTCTCTCTGACTCAAAAATGCATCTATATACTATATAAATGCTGAATTGGGTGTAATCCGAACCAAATGGTTCGGACCAATCTTAATATGGCTCGATGAAATTGGATTAGGGTCGAAGTGGCTCGAACCACTTAACCTATGGTTTGAACCCTCTTGGGTTGGGTTCCAGTCTAGAGAGGGAGATAGAAGAAAATGAAAATGAATGAATTGCAAATGATCCAAAGGGGGGTATTTATAGAAACAGATATGCCTTTTCGGATTGGGTGTATTTCTTCATTATTGGACACAACCATTGCAATAGGTTGCAATGGTTTACATGGTGTCTGTTCACCACTAGACACATCTATTCCAATAGGTTGCAATGGTTCACATGGTGTCTGTTCACCAATAGACACATCCATTCCAATAGGTTGCAATGTGCCTTTTCGAGTGGGTGCAACCATGGGTCATGATGGTTCGGAAAAAGGTGTAACCCTTTGAAAAAAACTAAAAAGTGGTTTTTTAATTTAAAAGGTGTAACCATTTAGAAAAACTAAAATATGGTTTTTTTTTAATTTAAAAGGTGTAACCTTTTAGAAAAACTAAAAAGTAGTTTTTTTAATTCAAAAAACCCACTCATTTGTGAAACCCATTTAAATAAGCCCAGCCCAAAATTAGGCCCAATCCAAAATTCCAAAAAAAAAAGAATAATCTGGACTTTACAATTAGGCCCAAGCCCAAGCCCAAATCCTAAACTCAGCTTATTTAAATTTCAATTTGTTTCAACATTTTTTCCATGTGGGACAAACACTTCCCACATTTTGCATACCCATTTAGGCTTATTAAAACACCACACTTTGGAGCTAATTTCTCATTCATCCGGAAATGGATTTCAGAAAGTAAATATACCACGTTCATCTCCTTGCGGAGAGAAACGCGCTTGTCTAGAGATCCGTAAAAAATTATTAGCGGAATTTATTTCAAATTTCATCCAAAGTTTATGTTTTTAATACCCCCGTTTCCAACATTTTGATGTTGCTTTTGGTGTTCGGACAGGGCGGACTTGTCGATACTTTCATGGATCTCATCTTCTGATAGCCCATGATCTTCTGATAGTCAAAAATCCAACCCTTCCATTTGTGGATTTCGATTTAAAAGATGTTAGGCTGGTTCCTTATGTGCCTAAGAAGTAATCCGGCGAACCACCACCCACCTTCGTCACCATCCACCGTTGATGGAGCCGCCGTCGGCGGCGATGAAGGGGGACACCACCGAGACAGACAAGTTGAATCGTTCTTCCCGCCAATCTCCGAGATCCGCAATGTAGAGCCAGTACCTGGAAGCAGATCGAGAACAAAAGTGAGGAACTCAGACAACTCGTCAACAATAGGTAACGCAATCTCAGCGACTCCGCCGACTCTATTCGCCATCCTCCACTCCTAGAGAGAGAAGGGCTTCTAATGAAAGAAGGCGAGAGAGGAGAGAGATTGGTGAGGTTTTGATGGGTACAAGTGTCATTTAAGAATTTAGAGATTTTATAATAAAATATGTAAAGGTAATATTGACATTTCACATCTTTTAAGGGATTCTTTGGGTCCATTTTTTGATAAGGGTTGTCATTGTTAAAAAAAAAACTCAATTTGTATATGATTATTGTTATAGCAAACCTCAGGGATGTCATTGTAATTAACCCTTATTTAACTCAGGGTTCATTATTTTACCTGAACCCGTTTCATATTCCAAGTCTCGACAGCAGATCCGGATCGGCCTGCGAATCACCCATTTCCACAAGTTCCCAAATTCCGTATGGATCGTTAACAACGAGGCAGCAAATAAACCCCCAACTCCAATCGATCATTCCAAGGCTTAAAATCGCTTCGATTGCTGGCTTCAGTTTTTAAGAAAAATTTATCAATTCTCATTTATCAGCTGGGTTTTGGCTTGCGACCTTGAATTGTCTATTTTCTGAAGAACCAAACAATGGATTGTGCGCTGAAGATTTCATCAATGGCCTTGCCTGTTCCTTCCTCACTCAGTTCTCACAATCTTCACAGGTTTTCATGGTTTGGTCCAAAAGGAAAAGAACCCATTACGAAAATCCATGCCTTCTCCAATAATGGCGCTGTTTCTTGCTCCCAAGGGGTTAGTACTCTTTCATTTTATATATATATTTGTGTGTATACATGTATGTGTGTGTATATTTGTTTATGAACTTTGTTTGGTGACCGAGAATACATAGGGAAAACAATTCAACTTTTATGTTATGGTTCATGTGAAAAGAAAATAACCCTCCCCGCTTTAGTCCAACAAAATGAAATTGGGAAGACTAAAAATTCCAGAATTTTATTCTATTTTGATTTCCCACATTTTGTAAGCAATCGAAAGGAGCTGTAACTTGGTTATTTTGTTTATATATATATATATATATATATATATATATATATATATATATATGATAGTACAAGTAAGAACCTTGCTATTACATATGGTCAAGCAAAACACAGAAACGCAAAAGTTTAAGCTGTTAGGGAATGGGTTAGACAATAGATGTCAGGATCTCATAAACTCAAGACTTGCAATGGAATTTCAGTGGTCCTTCGTGGTCTGGCTAGTGAGATTTATGTTGTTAAGCCTCTTCCAGAATGAAAATTTCAACTACGATGTAGTATTGTTTCACTAGTTGGTTACTCATCAGCATTTCGAATGGGATTCAAAATACTGGTTCCCTTTCCTATCTATAACAAAAAATTATTGATCTTTCAAATGTATTATATTATGCATTTTATCAATTTCTTTGTCTTGGGTTGCACATTTAGTTGATTTTCTAGTCCGATAGTATTTCTTTAATTTTTCTTCCTTTATCTCCATAATTTTGTTAGATTCATATAGTTTCCTTTCATGCGTGCCCTCTTCTGTGTTTGTGCATATCATTGATACTGAATTCCATTCCTTCTTCTGAATTTTATAAAGGTCCATTAGGACAATGGGGAATTATAGTGTTCAAAATCGTAAATTCGACATATGCTATGTGTTCATGTGCCATCTTCGTCTCTCATATGTAGCTTGTGCAAGCATTTTACCATCTTTCTCTGAATCACTATGTGCACGTGTGTGAATGCTCCATCTACCGTAGTCTGTATGTGTGAGTCAGCTTGTTTTCTGAAACTGGCAAAAAGATTTTTGTTTTCTGTTACCAAAAAAAAAAAAACCATGGTACTCTACTTCTTTTCCTGTCCCTTGAACATAAGCTGGCTTGGTAGAAATGGCTTTCATATAAGAAAGAAAAGGTACATGAGGCTTGAAAGGACATATTGTGTTGTTGCAGGCTTCATCTAGTTCAGTTGGGGATATTAACAGGCAAAGAAGCAGTCTTGATAATTTGTTTTGTTATGATAAGGCTATTCCTGAGGAAATAATTGAGGAGCCAATCGGTTTATCTTTGGCTGAGAAAGTTATTGGAGATAACCCCTGCTGCTCTGGTTGCCAAGCCAAAGGTGCTGTCCTATGCAGCACATGCTCTGGTTCTGGCCTGTATGTTGACTCTATATTGGAGAGCCAGGGAATCATTGTTAAAGTCAGATGTCTTGGTAATTTCTTATGCCCTGTTCTACAGATATGGAGATAGAAACTGCATACATTTTACATATTGGCATCCATGTTGTTATACATATTGACATTGAAGTTGTAGGCTAGCAAGTATGGGTAGTTGTCCTGTTTCAGTTTCTTGTTATATCATTTTGAACCATATTGTCATTAATACTTGCTTTGGCATCTCGAATGGGTCTTTTATTTAACAAAAAAAAAAAATTGAGAATCAATGTGTTGAACTTATTCAAGATGGATATGGTTGGCAAATTTTTTCCCATAATTTGGAAATGCTCTTAAGATGAAAGTAAACATACCGTCTTGTTACGCACGGAGTAAAATCTTAAAATACGGACTTTCATGCTTTCGAGGAGGCAATTTTTTTAGCTTTAACTCAGGGATTGTGGAAATTGAAGGTACGTTAATGATATTGTTTGTTCCACTTTTTTAAAGTACTTTTTATAAGCAAAAAGGAACTTTTGAACTTTTCTACTTCTGGTTTAAAATCATTTTTAGGAACAGTGATTGAGATAAATTTGAATTTCGTTGAGCTTGTTTTATTTAACAGTGATTGAGTGTCACTTGAAAGAAAATTATGACAATCACATATGTTAATGATTATTATCTTACCTTTGTTGGCTGATGGTTTCTTGGATTTTTCTGGATAAAGTTCTCAAATGAGATGCTGCAAAATTGTTTACCATCAAGATGCTGCGTCAATGCTCTTTAATGTGCTAATCATTTCCATGTAGGTTGCGGTGGAACTGGTAACATTATGTGTTCAGAATGTGGAGGCCGAGGTCATCTTTTCCGCAAGTAATTATTAAGGTTCGGTTTTGTCTTTTCTTTAACTTTATATGAGCATCCTATGTGTTAACATTTGGTGTGGAGATGCTCTCTCAGTTATATGTCTATTGAAGACATGCTGTTTTAAAATTTGTTTGGTTCATAAACAAAAATTCATGCCAGTTCTACATTATTAAATATATTTAATTGAATTCATATTTGTGAAGGTATATTATCTCTCGTTTGTATTCTTTTTAGTCTTTTGGAGATCAACCGTTTTCTTGTTCATCTACTGATTGTGTCTTTATATAGTTGCTTTTCGTGTTTGCATATTAAATTGTTAGATTCTATGTGTTCCATCTGCAATTGTAACGTGGACCTCTATTTGAAAGCAATTTATGATTATTGCAGAACTTACTGTCTGTAGTTACTGCTACACTTACCAACCAAGTTGATTCGTTTTGCAAAACTACTGTTGTTGAAAAAACTTGTGTTGGACAGGAAACAGTGTTTGAACCATGTTCAGTTCTTCATGCATGTCCTTAATAATGTGGAAGTGTCTTCTGTTTCTATGCCCAGAATATGTTCTGTTCCTCATGCATGTCCTTGATGATTTGAAAAAGTCCTCTCTTTCTTGTCTCTCCGTCTCTTTTTTCTCTTCTTTTAGAGCTATTAATTTTTTGAAGTAAGCTCTGTTGTAAATATTGAATTCGTGAAGCTACACTTTTTTTTCATAATTTAATTTGTTTTGGCTCTCCCTATATTCTACAGTTCCCAAGTGCTCATAAATTTGATACTGCAGTTGCTATAACAATTCTGATTTCTCCCAGTAGTCTTTCTTCATATCTGCCACATTTCATTGACTTTTTAAATCACTCCCATTCATCTAGGAGCACATTACTGGTATAAGATGAGAATATGTATATACGTAAACATATAGAAGTATGTGTTTCGATGCAATATTATGCCTATTTTGCAAGACTAAGTAGTGTAGAATTTAAACTTGAAGGGAAATTATGAACAAACATGGTTTCTAATCAACTGCTTGACCTTGTCACTTGGGATGGTGGTTGTTTTTTTTTGGCGACTGTAGTTTTTGATAACTTGTGCAGATACAAATGATTGAGCACAAGGTCTTGCTGAGCTGAGTTTTGGCAATTCAATGATTAGTGTGTTAATTGTTACCGTTGAGGTTGTGAGGTGGCCGGTAGCTTATTTGTTCAGAATATGGTGGTCACGGTCATCCTTGATGAACATATGTTACACTTCTTTTATTTGTTTTATGTATTATACTTGTATGGTGTAACACTCAGTAGGGAAATTAACATTGAAAACACACCTACTGAAGACATGCCTTTTTCCTTGGTGAGGAATTTTGTTTGATTCATGTATGACAAATAAGCTATACAGAATAAAGATTTTATTGTATCCAAACAGGTTAATTTTTATTAAGGGTATCTTTACCTTGTTCTCTAAATCATTTTCAGCTCTTGGAGTCCAAAGTTGGGTTTGCTTTATAAACAGATAAAAGAATCTGGTTTGTTCCTTCTCCCCTATCCTCACAGTGCATTGGCATATAGAAGTACATATATACGTATACACACGCACACACACACACGCCTGCGCCTGGAAGTATCAATACTGTAAGCTCTTAAAATCAAGAATTCCATCAGATTTACAGAAATTCAAACACGATGCTATTCAGGGAACTAATTACAGAAATTTTACAGCTTCCTATTCTCTCTGTCCTTGTTTTTTTTCATCATTGTATAGTTTGTCTGTGTTCATATTGTAGCTAAAAATGAATGTAGTATGTATCTCTGGTAAGTGGGAGGTTGCTGCTTCTGCTAGAGCTGGGTTGAGTCAGTTGCCAACGACGGCTAAGCTTGAGATCTCTGTAGCACTTGAATGCGTGCTGGTATCGTCTGATCAAACTGAACGCTCTGTGGGTTCTCTGCATAAGCCACATAGTAAGCTGAAACACAAGCTTGTGGCCATGCCATGGCGACCCGGCACTGCAGTTCAGCCATCAGAATTCAAGTTAGTAATTGAATGTATAGATTTGTAAACACACACACACACACACACACACAGACACACACTTATGTAAACACATGTTCTTACCATGAAATAGCCTATTAAGAATGCATAAATTGACACTTCCGTTGCAGATCCCTTATAAACCACTAGTGCCCATGAACCACCCACTAGTGTACATATTGCACCACCTGCCACTCCACACAGGAAGCAGAATGAACTGGTGAGGTCTGAGTCTATCAATGGTTCCAACCCAGCTCTTTTGAACGTCTCCCAAGTATCAATCGATGCCTGCACAAACCCTTTTTTGTAAACCCCTAGATGGACAAAACCCCACCTATTCCCATATGTTATCAGTCTTGAAGCAACTCCTGAGTAGCAATTAGTACATGAGAACATGAACTCATCTGCATCCCCTGAAATCAGACTTGTGGCCTGGGCTGAACCATGGATGACCCCAAGGACCGGTACGAGTACTGAGCCAATGCAGATGCTCCCAATTGAGTGCTTAAACGTGTCATGGAGAGCCATGCTCGTGTCAAGATCCGCCCCACACGAGAAATGCATGTATTTGACATGAGAGATTGTTACTTGCAGTGTGTTCTTGATCACTTGCATTGTCCATGCTAGGCTTAGCAGAATCACCAATATGAACATGGTGTCTAAGGTAGTACCGGTGGCAGTGGCTCCTCCAATGCCGGACACCAAGAAACACGAATAAAGGGTACTGGCGGCTATTGAATGAACAACCAGCAGGATTGTTTTAGCAGGAGGGGATGCAATTGAAACTGATAACAGCCGGACAGCATGATCAAACCGGGGATTGGCCCAACAAACATAAAGGGATTGGATTATGGCGAAAACAAGAGCCAATACAGCTGCGGCCAAACTTGCGGCGGAGCCAATGGAGAAGAACATGACTCCTGCGCCGCACGTTGACAGAGGGCCGAGCCAAAATGCTGCTCTTATGGCTTTTGCAGGGTTGCAGCGAGTGATCCATTGCCATGTAAAGGCAATAATTCCGGCACACGCCGTGGCAGTGAGGAGGGGCGGATACCATCGCCGAGGGCGGAAGTGGTGATCATCGGGGGCGAAGATGAGTCCCCGGACGGTGAGGAAGACCGTTAAGATAGTTATTAGGAAAATGTGTAGGTAGAATAGACTTTGAAGGAGCTTCCTCAAGAAGCGTCTCCCCCTTCTCCTTTCAAACTGGGTGTTAGGTTCTTGTACCTGCATTCAGACCAAACAAATTGATATATATGTGTGTGTATCTGTGTGTGTTTTCACATATAACACAGCTGAAGATTCAATACGCAGGGAACGCAAGAAAGAGAAGAAACAAGAAATGGGAGAGAGAGAACCTTGATGGGATTTGTTGATTGTAGGTTGTGTTGTTGACTATGATGAGTTGCTTGGATTGCATGTGGAGTGTGAGAGTCCTTGATTGTTGCCATGTGATAGTGATCGATGTGCAGTCTTTAATTTCTTTATATAAATGTTTTGAGTTCTTCTTCCGCACTCTTGGCAGCCACGGTTCACCAAAATCAGAATGAGATATTCAACTTCAAACCCACATATTATATTACTTAAACTCTTTCTTATCTTCTTAAACACATTACGTATACGTATATATTATATATATTTATAGATATATATTATACTGCTGACAGAGTCCTACATATCATAATACAAATTCTTTCGAAGACTAATCTGGCAAAAAAACAATAATAGAGGAACTAATCCAAATTTTCACGTGCCTTTGGGCGTGAGAGTTGGTATTTGGATGACGTGGCGTGATGAATGTGGACGATAGAAGTGGTGAAGTGGGGAGAAGGGTGTTCTATAACTGTATGGTGCTCGTGAGTTAGTTGGAATTTTCCCGGGAAATGCGTTTGGTCGTTAAATAAAGAGAAGTAAAAAGTAGTCGTTGTTTCCTTTTTGTGTGTAATAAGAGGCGGTGTGTGTTTGTTTTTATTGTTTTGTTCACCTGCTAACGAATTAACTGAAACTGAATTTAATTTTTCATTTTATTTGAAGAGCAGAAATAGGAGTTGCGCAAATACGTTTTATAGGTGGGATGGGGGTGGTTCTGTCCAAATCGCCTCTATAATCAAGTTGCTTTGATCTTTTAACCTTTATTTATTTGTACACGTGCTTGCACGTAAGTAAAAATTGAATTTGAAACAAAATTATAAATTATTCTTTAAAATCTTAAAGTTTAATTTATTGATAAACAATAATCCACTTAAATTTTATTTATTAAACATTTTTTATTATAATAGTTTTTAATACAAGTAAACAACAATGGAAAAAACTATCGAAGTATGTTTTTTGTATTAATTTTTCACAGATGAAAATTATTTTTATAATTAAACTATTTTTTATTTATTTTAGGAATTGAAGGAGAATTGTTTTTATTATTAGAATAAATTATTTTGTAAGGCATATCTAAAATATATTTATTATTAATTTTAATTTTTATTTTTAAATCTTAATTGTAGAAATAAGAGAGCGGAGGAGATGTACATATTTTCTTCTTCTGAATTTTAGGAATAGAGGAAGAGTGGTGGAGACTAACTGTGTGTAAAATATTTTCAGTTTTATTTTTATTTTCTAAAAAATTTTAGTAGTACAAATTCTAGTTATAGAAGGGAGTAACGAAAATTATTAATATATTTTGTGAATTGATGTAAATTATTTTTATTATTATATGCAAGTTAGTAGTACAATATTTATCTTTGTATCAAGTTGGATAAAGTGATTATAAATATATATTTATAAGAGTTCAATTTTATTATTATTTTTTATTAATACATTTTATAAACAACAATCAAGTAGAATTAATAATAAAATAATTGTGATCCAAAACTAAAATAAACAATAATCAATAGAAATAATGTAGCTTCTATATGTAAAAAAATAGATGTGATCCAAAACTAAACAAAACAATAATAATTTATCAAGTTGCTAATCAATTACACAAATCACATTGAAAAAGGATAAGAGAAATTAAAATTTTAAAGAAAAGAAATCAATTTACTTAAATTTTTTAATTTGTTGTCAAGTTTCTAATCAATTAATTTTTAATTTTTATTTTTAATCTCAAAATAGAGAAAAGGTTGCTAATGAATTATTGAAAAAAATAAAAAAAGAGAAGGAATTGAAAAAATTCATAACAAAGAAAATGTAACATATTGATTTTTTTTTTTTAATTTTAATTTTTATATCTATCTATATATATATATATATATATATATATATATATATATATGTAAACAAATCACAACTTTGTATGGAATAGCATAGAAAAGGTAGCATAAATCTAATTAAAAATCATAACTTTGCACTTACAATTTATTATTATTCTCTCTCATTATTCTTCTTCCTGTTGATTCTTCTTCAGCTGCAAACCCTATTAGCAAAACAATAGCAACTCTGTACACAAAATAGAGAATATGAATTAAAAATAAGAGAAATAAAAAGTTAAAAAATTCAAGTTACGTAAAAATATAAAATACTTCCATGATACTTCTGAAAAAATAAAAAAATATATTTGCAAGATCAAACATTAAACAAAGAATAAAAAATAAAATAGTTTCCTGGTGTTTATGAGAAAATAAAAATAAAAACTAAAGAAGAAAAACATAACCCTGTAAAAATATAAAATACTTCCATGATACTTCTGAAAAAATAAAAAATATATTTGCAAGATTAAACATTAAACAAAGAATAAAAAATAAAACAGTTTCGAGTGTTTATGAGAATATAATAATAAAAACTAAAGAAGAAAAGTATAATCCTAATGAACTTACCATATGATGCTAAGAGAAAAATGAACACCAATTACAAAGAAAAATGATGGATATAGTAGAGGTAAAATACAGAATAAAAAATAAATAAAATACTTTCAAGATACTTTTGAAATAATAAAAACTAAATCACAATGCAAACTAAATTTACAAGATCAATCAATGTTGTCAGCGACCAAACATATAATACACCGTAAAAAAATAAAGAGTAGTGATACTCACATCGAACACTTGCAATGAATTGCCTAAGCGAATAAATTTTACCAAATACGAATAAGTGGAAGGCTTTACTTCCTTATTTGTTGCATAATTGACCAATTAAAAGAGGGGCTTGGATCCTCTAAGTTAAATATTCACTATTATCTTAAGTTGAATTCGTTACAGATTGATATACTGTTAAACTACATTAACTAATTTAAAGAAAGTTTGAAAATTGTACCGTTCGTTTTGAGATAAGAAAAATTTACTAAGAATTTAAAAATTGCACCGTTTTGAATTAAGAAAAATTCACCATACTATTTTTAGAAAAAAATCCTCCCCCTCTTTCCTCTTTATTTATATCTTAAACAAGTGGCGATGGTTTCTATTTCTCTCTTAACCTGAGCTCTCTAATATTTTCTATATATAGGGCTTTTGGTTGTATTTTCCTAACTCCATCAATATCTATCTACATATTTGTGGGAATGAGCAAGAAAAGATCCATCAATATCTATCCACATATATGTGGGAATGAGCAAGAAAAGATGAGGGAGAGATGAGGACGTTAAACATCGTTAGAGTAAGACCAGTACTAGATAGATTTTAATTATTACGTGTCAATTTGTAACGAATTCAACTTAGGATAACTTAGAGAATATCTAAGTCCTTAAAAGAGTGCAACTATTCCAAGCAAGAATCATTTTCAAAAAATAAAATACTTTCATGATGCTTCTGAGAAAATAAAAATAAAAAACTAATAATACTATTTAACTTACCGGATCAAGCACCTAACCACTTGTGAGAAAAAAAATCTAAACACTAATTACAAAGAGAAAAGGGGTAAATATAGTAGATGTAAAAGTAAAATATATAATAAAAAACTAATTTCTTCTTTCCAATTATATTTCCTTAGTCCATATGAATTTTAATAATAGAATTTTGAATTCAAGTATATTCTATCCCTAGACGTTTTAATTAATTAATTTATTCTGCATTTTAGTATTCTTTTATAATTCTATTTATTCTTTCCAATTTTATTATTTTTAATTAATTAATTCCATTACTTATTTTGAGTTTTGAATTCAAGTATATTCTATTTATAGATTTTTTAATCAACTAATTAATTTATTTATTATGCATTTTAGTATTCTTTTATAATACTATTACTTCTTTCCAATTTTATTTCCTTAATCCATACGAGTTCTAACAATAGCTTTTGAATTCAAGTATATTCTATGTATTCTGTGTCTATATTCTCCGTATTCTTGTGTCTAGACTTTTGTATTTTTTCATAATACGGAGTATTATATATTTCAATACGTAAATAGAAGAATTATTTCCCTTAACTCTTACCAAACATGAATTATTTTCTAATTAGATTTCTTCCTACTGAAATTAAAATTAGTAGAAGAATTTTTACCAAACATGTATTTTTTATAAACAATTACCTATTTTATTAAAATTAGTAAAGATATAGTAGACGTAAAAATAAAATATATAATAAAAAATCAATTTCTTCTTTCTAGTTGTATTTCCTTATTCAATACGAATTTTAAGAATTTAATTTTGAATTCTATATTCTATCTATAGACGTTTTAATTAATTTATTTATACTGCATTTTAGTATTCTTTTATAATTCTATTTATTTTTTCCAATATCCAGTGCACACTGAATTTTAATTATTTATATTGCACACTGATATTGGGATTTTTTTATTCTTAAAATTAATTTATTTATACTACATTTTAGTATTCTTTTATAATTTCATTTATTTTAATTAATTCTATGTTATTATTCCAAAAAATTAAGGTAATTTTTTGTTACCACACCCCATGGGAGTTGAACCTTGAAATACCATTAGGTTACAGTCTTTAGAAAAAATTTAATGAGTTGAGAGAAATATGTGTATACCCACAATAAATAAATAGATACTCGTATATATCTATATAAAGGAAATTACTCAAAAATAAATTGGAACTTCCTGTGCCAACTTGCTCTACCTCGTTTTGATTTGCAAGGTTTCAAAAATTTACAAAGAGAGAAAATCGAAGAGAGAAAATGTTTTAGTTTATGTCTTTTACTTTAACGCATAAAGAATTTGGATGACTTAACATAACCACATCAGTTTCGGATGAAAAATTGGACAAAATAATCTGACAATATGTTATTATTATTTTTTGACCACACCCATGGGAGTTGAACCTTAAATATTATTAGGTTACACTTCAGTCTTTTGAAAAAATTTGATGAGTTAGGAAAAATATGTGTATACCCACAATAAATAGATAAATATGTATTTATATAAAGGAAAGTACTCAAAAATAAAATAAAATAAAGAAATGCAATGATGCAATCCTCCGAAAGAGCTACCCTCAAGGAATTTCTCAACACAATTGGCTAGTATTTATGAAAAATGGACTAAAACAATAAATAAAAAAAATGCAGAAATTCATATAACATCATTTATATAAAAAAAAAAATACTGTATTGAATAGTTAGTAACACTTGAACTCGTACATTTTAAGTAACACACTATTCAATATTAGATATTGGATCGAAAAACACACACTAATCGCCTTCGGTGCAAGCTCATGTGAAATTCTTCATAGTTAAGGGGTGTTTATGTAAGTAACATTTATCATCATGATCATCACCATCATTATTATTATATATTATGGTTTATAAAGCTTTAGTGCCATTGGCTTCCTATTGGAGTTTGATCTCTTTTTATAACTCAATGCTGCAAAG